CCAGGTCTCCTGCAAAGTGCGAGCAAACTCTTCGTCTCTGCGCTCTTGTTCCCGCCGTTCTTTAAGCCAGGCCTCAGCTTTGCGCTGCTCCTCCTCGAGTGCGATGAATTCATCATCTTCGTCTATACCAAAGAAACCAAGCAGATCAGGGTCGGGAGCAGTAGCGGAAGCAGGCTGGTTGGAAGGACCAGTGTTTCGTTGAGGAGAGGCCTGTCGACGGGTTTTCGAGTCGTGGAGTAGAGCAGAGGAAGTGTTGGGCGACGAAGGCGCTCGAGGCCGTTTTCGTGAAGGACCAGCTTCCATGGCGGCTACAGACAGGCGAGACGAGGAAGAGGAAGACGAGGAAGAGGCCTGATGTGCTGTTCTGTGCTGGGTTGTGGTGCTGGTAGTCGGTGGCAGCGGGGACGGCGCTCGATGGCTTCCAGCTGGGGTGTGGTTATAGCTGAAAGTGGTCTCGTCCTCTGAATCCGACCATGAAAGCATGTCCTCAATCTCGCCTGAGTCCATCTGTTGGACGGAGTGGACTCCGCAACGAGAGATCTTATCTCAGCTGCAAGCAGTCAAAGATCCTGGTTCCTTTATGCGCCTCTTTCCGGCGTATCGCCTCAGCCATACACACCACAGGGTAATATGCGGCTCAAATTCCAATGTTGGTCATCAGCGTATCAAGCGGGCGACTCGCTGGACCAGCCGTCACTTAGCTCGGGTCCTAGACACGATGGACAATTAGATGATTTCGCATACAGAAAGTTCACTATCCAGCGTGTTTCAGGCCAAACCTTTGGAATGTCTGGAATATCTGTGTGGATGGCCCTCACAAACCTGCTGGCCTGTCATAAAATGACATCGTCAGCTCATCATCGATGATGAAATCTTTTTAACATTTATTATATTTTATTATTTAATTATTTTTATTTTTAATTTTTTTTTTTTCCATTTTTTTCTTTTTCTTTTTCTTTTGTTGGATTTCTTTGGTTTTTGGCTCGAAATCCTCAAAATGTCTGGCGGGCGTTGAAAGTATGTAAGATGACTAAGCAGAGGACAGTTCCCAGTAGCACATTTGGCACTTTTTGACACCTTTTGACATTTTAAATGGCTGTGGGTGGCTTCTCTGTATCGCCTGATCATTTGTACTATGGTGGAATAACTAACTGGATGGCGGAAGTGATGATTTTATTCAGCAATGCTGACTCTTCGACAGCATAGTAACAAGTGACACTGCACAAGCTACTACTATGGCTGATACGGGTACTTATTAAAGCAAAGACACACACATACATACACATGCGCATATATAATTCCCTCGAGACTTTACGTGCCGAGAAAGGAAGCCATATTTTTCATGTTGCCGATCTTTCTCCGAACACATATAAACGGAGGACTTTAGTTCGAATAGACGAGAGTATTGAACAAAGCAATGATGTCATCATTCAGATATCAATTTCTACCAGATATGAATGATAACCATATCCAAGCTTCGAAATAGCCACTCGCTCAGCATATCCAACCCAATAGCATTTCCAGTTACCTTTGAACCGCCTCCGAATATCAAATTGTTTGATCTATCAAATAACAAGGTTCTCAAGAAGGTTTCCAGGGGTAAAGAGTGTGCTTAGTCATTAATTAGTAAGCTCCCGAAAGAATATTAGGTAAGACATGGCCTTATCACGTGCTACCCTTAAAGTTTGTCCCACCGCGTCCATCCAATCTCATCCCAAAAGGGAAAAGGAGACAACATCAAAGATTTCGTCGCGTTTAACGACATGATTCCTGTTATTCTTGGTCGAGGCCAGATGGAATGAGAGCTGTACAACCGTGGGATAGCTGGATGCTGGAATTCCGGATTGGATTCCTTGGTGAGGCTTACGGAACACGCCGACTGGTGGAACCGTCGATCGCGTGAAGAACAGCAAGACCTATTATGTAGGTAGGACTGGCTGTTACGATCACCGCTGCTGAACCGGGCCAGCTCAATCATATGATAACGATACGATATTCCCTATAAGGTCGGACACAATGTTCAGCACTACTCCGTACGGAGTACTCTGTACACCTTATCAAAGATGGAGCAGAGATAAATTGCATCCTTCTCGCCGGCGCGATGCTCGGCCGTGTTCATCCGCGTTAACGGCTGCAACCACTTAACGCGGTGTCGCGTCTATTCCGCCCTTGCGTCAACATCAACGTCCTTGTTCAAACTCAGTCAACCGCGCCTCGTATACGCTCGACCAATAAGCGCCAAGAGACGTTTCACCGTCGTTCCGTGCTCGCGATATTCTCGCGCTTCTGCTGCACCTCGAACCTTCGCCCTGGCAACCAGTGTAGCTTTGCTGATCGCTAGACCAACCATGGGCGCGTTGCTCCAAGGCAACTGGACCAGGCCAAGTGCAAAATATGCAGACAGTGCATTCCGGATGGGTCCGCCCGTGCTTCTCCCCCTTCCCCGCCCTCGGAAAGATGTTTCGTTGCATATTCGAAACATTTTCCCTTTTTTCCCTCTTTTTTCTCCTCCCTTTCCGAATTTGTTTTATATATGATACTACATCTATATCGATGGCAAAGGAGTATCTGGCATACTCCTGATATATTTATGAATTTAATGACTGTCATGACATTGAAACACTGAGGATTTACGATCAAGGAGCAACGGGACTATATTTACTCTGGTTTGATACCTGCAGGTCCAAGTGGTAGGTGCTTTTGCGCATGATCCCTCGCCAGGAACCGCATGCAACTGACGTGTTCAAAGGTGAATTACAACCAACGGTAATTGCATTAATTCTTAACCCTCAAGCAGAGAGTCTGCCAGTGAAAGGAAAGGAAGGGGAGAAATAAGGAAAAAATGCTACCAAGTGCATCTTTTATTCGTTTCTGGTCTACAGACTTGACAAGAGATGCATTCCTATCCCAGGTGTCGAAGGAGGATCTCGCCAACCTGCGGCTGGTCTGCCATGACTTCAGCGTCCATGTTGAACCGATACTATTCTCTGAGCTCAATGTCTCCTTTCGAAGTAGCACATTTACCCGACCAGCTCGCATGGATGCCCTGGAGCGCATTGGAAGACATGTTAAATCTTTGAAACTGACTATCTCACACTCACCATCAACTTTTCTGCCGCCACTCCTAGATCCTAATACTGGAGAAGAGCAAACTTTTGTCTATACGCCACAGGTCTACCCATCATCGCCATTTTCATCACGACTGAGTGGACCAAAGTATGGGACATGGGAAATGACTGATCTACTGACAAAGCAGTACCCTCCGCTCTTCCATGCAGCCACGAACATCGGCTCTTTTATACGTGCGTTCAAAGCACTGGATGGCCTCACCAAGCTTACTCTGTCCTGTCCGAACCAGTCTGCCCCCCACCGCTACCGTCGTAGTGTGGTAGACTATGCACTGATCTCTATACGCTGCGCTGTGGAGCACAGCCCACTGCCGTGTCTGGCCTCTTTAACTCTTCTTCCCATGCATCCGGGGGCTTTGCTCTACTTGCGACCAACCGCTGTAGGAATTGGTACGTCTCCTGCCTCATGCAAACGCTGGAGACGGATAACCGATCTTCATATCGAGATGGATGCCTTTCCGTACAGTGGAGGTGAACCAACGGACCATCTGAAATTTCTAGATTCATACCTCCAGTGCTTCCCGCTGCTGAAGAGGCTCAAGTTCCGCTGGCTTGGCGCAAGGGGTCCATCTCCACTGTCTCTGTCGACGGAGCCATGTCTGACGACAAACAAGCAGAATCAATTCTCATCTGCACAGCCAAAACGAGTCAAGGCACTTATCTTCCCATCCCTGCATAGGCTAGAGATCGAGAACGTCCATGTTGATGCATCCCAGGTGTCATCCTTTATTCGCAACCACCGTAATGCCCTGCGCGAGATCAACTTTGAAGCCACAACGCTACGCTCAGGGACATGGGATGATGCCCTGGCACCGCTGGCCCCGTCACCAAAGAAGGCAAAGCCCTCACCGTCACCACCACCCCCGGGCCAGAAGAGCGTGGCAACTAAGGAAGTCGAAGTGATGGATGTCCCTCTTGTCTTGAGCGCAGCTGGTATGGAAATCAAGCAGCTACAACGACTTGTCCTCGAAGAAGCCGGACGACGCAAGAAAGGCCGTCGAAACAAGACTGGCAGCAGCATCCGCCTGTGGGGAAGAGGCAAAGCCATATCGACTGTTGGATCGGGATCGACAGTCTCGGCTGGCTCAGGAACTGGAGCTGGTTCCAAGATCGGGTATGGCCAAGTTCAGCTGCAGAAGGCCACGGACCGAACAAGAGAGCTGTTGGGGTGTGGACCAGAGCATATGAGACGGTTACTGAGGGCTTCAGTCCTGCGTGTCAGGGCTTTCTAGGCCCTTCTTCTGTCTTTTATTCTTTTCATTTTTCTTACCCCTCTGCCGCGCTTCTTTTTTTGTTTTATTTTACTTTTATGTTTATAACGGCCATTCTTTACGACCCTTTTTTATGTTTCTACTGAGGTACCTTGTGGCTTCTGGTGTGGTGGGAGTTGCAGCATCCGAGAGCGTCTGGGGAACCTCGGCTGTTTTTCTTGGGGGCGGAAAAGGGAAATAAGGGGAAATCTGGAGTAACTATTAACGACGACGACGAGGGCTGACTGTCTTTATATTCTTGAGCATGTATGCTAAATCTATTTATCTATATCTAGTTATTTAGTTATTATTATATCATTATGCTTGTTGCTAGCTTCTATATATTGGTTCATTGTTGCCAGCCACGGGTACCTAACCAACGAGTAGACATGAGCTCCAGCCAGTTATTGAGTAGCTGACCACAGCGATCAACATGCAGAATCTATCGTCTCATGTGTATATTTTCCCTCGGCGAGAAGAAACGAACATGCGACATGGGAGAGACACCAGAATAAGCAGAGGAAGATCGACTTTCACGACTTTCACGACTTTCACATGCACGCGATCTCCTCGGGCCTTTTGCTGTTACGGGGAAAAACGACGGAGGCCCCATAACTATAAGATGCTTCCTCCGCCTTCTCTCCTCGCCTCCTCTCGACATCTCCCACAGCTCCAGCTCTCGACCGTACAGACACAGGACTCTTCTATCCCAAGCAGCATCTCCCAGCTACCGCCATCATGTCTGTCAAGATCGGTGAGTTTACTATGCCTGGACGAGCCGCCTGGCTGAAACTTCATCATACATACTGACGAAGGAACCACCAGACTCTTTCCCTTCTTCCGCTGCCTTTGACCTGATCAACGACACGCTCAAGGCCAACCCCAAGGAGCGCGAGGCCGCCATCAAGGCTGCCCAGGGCATCTTCGCCTTCACCCTCACCAACGAGGCTGGCGCCACCGAGAGCTGGTACCTCGACTTCAAGAAGGACGGTGTCGCCTGCAAGGGCGCTGCTCCAGAGGGCGGCAAGGCCGATGGTGAGCTGAAAACATTCGCATACGCACAGGAATCGCAAGCCCTCAAGTGCTAACAAACCTGTAGTCACCCTCGTCCTGTCCGAGAAGGACTTCGCCGGCCTCGTCGCTGGCACCGCCAACGCCCAGCGTCTCTTCATGGGCGGTAAGCTCAAGATCCGCGGCAACGCCATGAAGGCCATGAAGATCGAGCCTATCCTCAGCAAGGCCAAGGCCAACACCGGCGTCAAGGCCAAGTTGTAAATACTCTGCCTGTTGCTTTCCGACCTGCTTTTTTTTTTTTTATATATTTCACGACGAACGATAAAAATGGGCGATATAGCCTGAGGACCGAGGAGGATGACACGCCCCAGGCAATCTCAGCAATTATACTCCGGAGCGGAGAACCCATGCTGGAGAAGGAGGATCTGTTCTATAGACGACGGAATGTGATGTGCTGGTGGATATTATAGGCTGTGTATATCCTCCTGAGCCGGGAGTTCTTCCTCTGTACATTATCATCAATATAATATCCATCTTAGACTTGTTTCTCCTGTCTCTGTCTCTGCCGCCAGAGACATGTATATCCAGTGTCTCTATCTCTGATTCTCTACCACGCTATATAACACATTCCAAATCTCCTCCATCCTGACCTCACTGTCGCCTGCCTTAAATCAACTTTCTCACTGACACGACTGAAGCCTAACTAATTAAAAAGAAGAGAGAAAAAAAAAAAAAAAAAAAAAAAGCTGTCCACTGGATGACTAAGCTTTTTTCCTCTCTGGGTCACGGCGTTTGCGACTGGTAGAAAAGAGAAAACTGCACGAAAACTGCACTCGCTCTCGTCCGCGTCGCCGTCGATGCGCCGACTTCTCTCTCGTCCTGTCGCGGTTTGACCAGCTCGAGACATCGAGGAAACACCTGCTTACGCCCGGGATATTGTCGATTCTCCTTGTCCTGCCGTTCTCGTTGCGCATCCTCGCTCGCGTTGATTAAAAAAAAGTGAAATAAAAGTCGTTGGCTGGGAGACATCCTGCGCCTGAAGAGGCTGGGATAAATACACGAGACACACCATACCCCTTCGCGGCGGCGGCGGTTCATGACGCTGCTGTGTTAGAAGGGTCCGCCGGTGAGAGAACTCGATAGAGAGTCTGGCCAGCCAGCTTGCTTGCTTGGTCGCTATAGAGTCAATGAAACGAGCTCCAACGACACAAGGGGGACCGGATAGAGGATTCGAGCCAGAAATGTCTTCCAACGATGCGCCCAAGCGGGCGACAGCGGCTCAGATAGCCAACAGAAAGTAAGTAGAGTGTATCTTTTGTACCTTTCATAGTGTCTTTCTGTCTCTTTTATGACGTTTCTCTGCTTCTGTGGTGGCTGGGCGAGGACTGCTGCTATTGATGATACCAACAACACACATTCGGCTTCAATATCACCACCAGCACCCAGCACACAATGAAGATGGAGAGACAACAAAGCTTTGTATTGCCTGTTCCCCTCTCTTTGTATACGCTGTCCTATCCAGCCCCCTCGATGAAGTCTCAGTCTGTCCTCGTCCTGTGTGCTTGTCCTGTGTTGCAGGCTGGGTCTATATATTTTACCTGCTGCTTGCGCCGATATCAAACTCCTTGTCCTTGACATCTGCCAAAGAACTGCCCTTTCACCAGCTGTCTCAAAGCTCAGGCTCAAGTCCAAGCTCAAGTTCAACATCACCCCGTTTTCCATCTTCATTCACAAGTCGTCTTAATATCTTCGTTATTCTTCGAACCAGCAAGTTGACGTCACCTTAGAATCAAGGCTGCCCGAGAACGAAGAACTCGAGTCGGTTCCCCCAGTCTTCCACAGCCAGCCGCGAATCCTTTCAGTTCTGTGGGTACGGATACAACTTCTTCATCTGCTTTCACAGCTCCGTCAAACGGATTCACTTTCGGACAATCCCAGGGCTTCTCACGGCCTGCCACAGCCACAGGAACCTCAAACAACATACCGTCTGCATCCTCTAGCTTTGATAACAATCAAAGCAACACTCCCGGCACTTTTAAGCTCTTCGGTAGCCAGACTACTTCCGCACCCCCTTCTTTCGATTTCTCATCAAACAACGCTCAGCAAGTAAGCAATCCGTTCAGCAACATGAGCTCCAACCAGAACACCGGTTTCCAGGGCTTCAAAGGAAGCATGTTCAATATCCCCGGAGCTTCTCAGCCCGAGAACAAGAAACCTGAAAATCAGCAAAACGGAACTAGTGGTTTCTTTGGACAGGCTCCTGCGCAGACCAGTGCTCCTCTCTTTGGTGCTACGCCAACCACGTCTGCGCCTCTTTTCAACTCATCTGCTGGCCCGAACATGTTTGGACAGAGCAACAACAACAACCCTCCTACCAATATCTTTGGCTCTGCTACAATGCCGAGTCCTACCAAGTCTATTGGTGGTGGTGAGGCAATGCAAATGTCTCCAGATGGTCCAAAGTCTACGGCTGGTCAAGCCATGTTTAATGTCTCTGCTCCAGCCCCTCCTATCTTCAAACCTACCTTCTCGACCCCTTCCACTGGGTCTGGATCTATCTTCAATCTGGGAGGAACCCCCGCAACCACATCTGCTGGAACTCCAGCATTCTCCTTCAAGCCAACTGCCGGTACCCCTGCCCCGCCCGCATCTTCTGGTAGTTCGACCTTGTTTGGTGCTTCTAAGCCCGAGGAACCAAAGGCTGCTCCCGCTGTCAGCTCTGGTAATTTCATGTTCGGTGCTTCTGCTTCTACTCCCGCCTCCACTCCTTTGTTTGGGCAGCAGAAGCCAACTGAGGCTCCCCAGGCCACCACTACCACTGCTGCTCCAGCCACCACTGCCTCTACCACCAAACCACCCAGCATTTTTGGGGCAAATCCTTCTTTCTCTGCTGCTCCTTCGGGTGGCTCGCTGTTCAGTCATCTAGCTCAGCCGAATAATTCAGCGGCTTCTGCTTCTGCCGCAAATGGAACCTCCTCTATTTTCAGCAACCTGGGCCAGCCAAAGCCTGATACTACTCCCTCCCCTACGAAGGAAACCGGCTCTCTCTTTGGCCACCTAGCTCAGCCAAAGGCAGATGCTGCGCCTGCTCCAGCAAAAGAAACCGGTTCAATCTTCAGTCACCTTGCTCAACCAAAGGCCGAAACCGTCACCTCCCCAGCGAAGGAATCCCCTCCTTTGTTTTCCACTCCCAGCGCCTCTAAACCTTTGTTTGGTGCAGCATCAACAGCTACAGCTCAGCCTACCACCCAGCCTGCCTTCTCCTTTTTCGGGCAGACTACCAAGCCAGCTGAGAGTCCAAAGCCTGCTACGGCTACCACTGGAGGACAGACTCCTTCTATCTTTGCCTCGTCTTCCTCAAACTCTATCTTTCAAGCTCAGCAACAGCCTACTGCAACTCAGACTGAAAACAAAAACCCTACCCAGTCTGCTCCAATGTTTGCTGCCTCTACCAACATCCCCCCGGTTACCCAGCCAAAGCCAATGTTCACCAATTCTGTGAATGCTGGCACTTCAGGTGCTTCTAAACCGTTATCACCAACCTTTGGAGCTGCTCCTGTTCCTGCTCCAGCTGCCCCAGCTGAAGCTCCTGCTCCACCAAAGCCAAAATATGTAGACGCTTCCACTGAGACCGTCTTTGAAGCTTCAGTTACCATGGTGAACTTCCGTCCTACAGAAGCTGAATACCCGCCGAACGCTACGCCAGAAGTTCGTGAGCAATTCCTTCGTCTCTGGCGTCTCTCTGCCCTCAATGCCAGCTTCCAAGAAGAGATTGCCTCTGTGAACTGTTGGAGTCAAGACCTTGATCCTATCATCGGTCGTTATGTCATGCTTCGCAAGTTGATTGGCCACCCTCACCCCATCGTGACCCAATATATTCCAGCTACCCCGGGTAGTAAGCTTCCGTGCAAACCACTACCACCTTTCTCCGATTACGATGCGGAGTATGAGAGAGAGCGTGCCCAGGCAGCTGCTAAAACTTCTGTATCGAATGCCGATGCAGCTCCTTCCGGGCCGTCTGGTGTGTCACATAAACGAAAAGCATCTGACGCAGGAGAAGAGGACTCTACTTCATCCGACAAGACTGGCAAGCGGACCAAGTTCGATGCAAACAAAGAAAAGGATAGCGACGATAAAACTGACGAGGCTGGCGAAGCAACTCCATCCAAAACACTCTCCCTCTTTGCCAACTCCTTTGTTGCTCAAAAATCTCGTGTTTCGGCTGCAGATGGTGATGATGAAGCTGATGCTGAAGCCGATGCCGATGGTGCTAGCTCCGAGGAAAGCGAAGAATCCGATGAAGAGGAGGAGTCGACTGACGCTGAAAAGCAGGAAGAAAAGACCACTACTCCTTCTGTTTCTCCTCCCTCAACTTCAAATGGCGGTGGTCGTAGCCTTTTCGACAGAATTCAGCGAGATGAGAACGGTCAACCTATCCGCCAGGTGCAGGCTGATGAGCTTCGCGAGGAGGCTAAATCTTTAGCCAATGAGGCTAACGAGCTTGCTTCTTCTGTCATGGGAGGTTCGAGAACTGGTTCTCCTTTCAATGCTGGATCGTTAACCCCTCTCACCGGTTCCACAAATGACCTGGATAGTACCCGTTCTCCATCTCCCATTGATCCACCAAAGGCTAAAACATCTACACCATCCATCTTCGCCAATCTTGCTCCTAGCGGGTCATCTAATATCTTCGGTGCCAGCAATTCTTTCACATCTACATCCTCCGCTGGTGGGTCCAAGCCAGCTACAACCTCCAACATTTTCGGCGCACCACCATCATCCGCCTCGAGTTCTGCAGCTAGCGGCTCTGCTCCGGCAACCAGCATCTTCGCTGCTCCGTCTCCTACTTCTACTCCGCCACCATCTAATATCTTTGGCGCACCTCCATCTACCTCTGCGCCAGCACCGACTAGCGTCTTTGCAACCCCCTCGTCCGCCCCAACTCCGACCAGCAACAGCTCTCTCGCACCACCGACAACAAACATATTCGGCCACCTGAAACCTGGCAATTCCTCCGCTCAGCCAGGTTTGTCTCCGTTCCCACTGTCCGCAGCTACATCTGTCGACCCCAGCCCAGCCCAGTCTGATACAGACGCCACCAACGATCCAAGTGATGAGGTGGAGAAGCATGCACAGGTCGACTTTACTCGCAGCGGACCTGGTGAAGAGGATGAGGATGCAGTCTTCGAATGCCGCTCTCGTGCCTACCAGCACATCAACGGTCAATGGGAGGTCAAGGGCCTCGGGGTTCTCCGCATCCT